ACCTGGCACCCGCCCCGCTCCCGGCACCAGGCACCTTTGTGCCCCCCGCCTCGCCTCGCCTCGCCTCGCCTCGCCCGGGGTCCCCAGCCCCTGCCCCCAGTGCCCGGGGAGGGGACACCAGGTCCTGCTCAGTGCCGCCTGGCGCACCTCCACCTGCGCTGGGGCTGCCCTGGTCCTTCCTGTACCGAGGCAGCGGTCCCGGTGAGCAGCACAAGCCCCAGGCCGCGGAGGTCCCAAGCCCAAGCCGCGTCCGAGCTCAGGGATGCACCGAGGCCCAAGCCGGGGGGTGGGAGGAGGTGGCTGAGCCAGCACCCGCGCCCAGCACTCCTGCTGCAGGCCTGGTCGGCCACTCTGTGTCCCTCCCGTCTCTTGGCAGATGGCGACCAGATGGATGGGGATGGCCTGTATTTCATCCGAACCCCATCCCTGTTTGTTTACTGAGGTGAGCCTATGCAAATGCCAAGCTGTCAAGTCTCCCGTTTCCGTCCCTCCGGAGGTTTCCTCTGCACTTAACAGAGGATGTCGTCACACTTCTGTCTTGCCAGCAAATGTTTTGCCCTTTTTCTAAGGGACGGGAAGAGGATAGATCACAAACCCTGTTAGACTATATGCATAAATTTAAACTTCCACTGCCAGTAGTCAATAATTGACCCACCAGTACTGGGCAGGTTGAGAAGCCTGTTGTCTGATTATCCTTGTGGTAACGAAGCCCACATGCATCTCAGGCCAGCTTTTATAAATCTGGTCAAAGGTAAATAAAAATTGTCTCTATTTTAATTGTATCCCTCTCCCCTTCCTTTTCATATTGCTAATCTTCTTGGGGCCCTGTCCATCCAATGGCCCTGCCCTTTTAGCATTCAAAATTCAGCACATGTCAAGTACCTAACATCTTTGCAGGACTGGGACCTTTGACTGCATGCTTATTGGTGTCAGGACTGTGTGTGTAGAGCATTTAGTACAGTTTAAGTGCCACCAGAATGAAAAATAATTCATCAAATGGGGGACACTACAGATTATTCAGGTGCCTACTACTGACCCAATTAACTGCCATCTAATTCCTAAATTTGACTCAGATAATTAGACTATGAATAGTAAAAAATAATTAGCTATTCTAAATGGGGATTCTTTTTTTTTTTAATTTGTAGAAAAAAACAGTAACAATTCAAACAATGTCACCCAGATCTTATGCTGCATTGTGTCTCAATGCAAATATTAAAATGTTTTGCAAATGCTAGCCATAGTCCTCGTTCTTCAGCTCTAAGGAAACCGTACCTTTGTTAACGACAGTGGATATGCTCATATAGACAGGGTTCGGGGGTCTTAAGCACTGTGTCCTGACAGATGACAGGGGAATTCAAGACATGTTGGCAATACTAAGGTTCTGTCTGCACTAAGACTGAAAAACTGGCACTAAATTTGCTAGAGTAAACCCAGTCGAAGAAACTCGTACTTTAATCACCATGACTACAACTGTGCTGTGGTCGTGTCTATGGCTTTACCTTAATCATGATAGGAAGGAAGAAGGCCCTGGAAGAACTTTTGCTACAAAGGAAAGGGATATCCTCCTTATTAAGGCAGGATGCACAATTCAAATGTTTCTGAAGGCCCTTGCAAGGTACTTTCCACTAGGCAGGGTCACCATTAGCAGGATTCACTCTGATTGTGTCACCCTGCAGCATGTAAAAAAATGGGAAGCTGCATTGGGCCATGATTGCATACTGTCATGTAAGAGGCAATGGGTTTTTGGGGTGATATCTTTTATTGGACCAACAGTATAGTTGGGAGAGATCTTAGATAAGTGTTCAGGCATAAGTGCCCTTCCTCAGGCCTGGGCTACATCTCTTTGTTCAGTTGATAAGTATGTACTGTTTAAATTGATCCCTAATGGCAGGGGTGTCAAATATGTGGCTTGTAGACTGGATCTGGCCCTTGGAGCTCAGTTGTCTGGTCTGCGGGGCTCCCAGAGGGTCTGGGAATTTAGGAGTGGGACAAGCGAGAGCAGGGCCTACAGCTGAAATCCAGGGTATAGAGCCCTGTTGGGACACACATCAGCAGCGGGAAGTGAGTGATGGCAACCCCTATGGCTGTGACTGCCATATACCCTGACAGGACCACTGCCTACCCTGCTGCCAATGCTGCTGAATCCACATCCAGCCCAGGGGCCCCAGTAACTTTGAAACCCTTGCTTTGTGGAGTAGGTTAACTAAAAAATGTTTCTCAGTTTTTCTGGGGTTTTCTATAGTTATGCTGTATAGTTGGAATTGTGTGCATTAGCCAGATGGTATGTCCTCTGGGGATGATGTTACAAAATTATGTCTCTTGCACAAGCTTGGAAAGAAGATGTCACTATGCAGGCTGGCTTCTTTTTTCTTTATGTTGTGGATTTCCCATTGTAAATGCCAAATGTCAATATCTTCCACGTTGTGGTAGTGTTGGAGTGATGCGGTAGCTATGATGGTCCAGGAAATATACCACCTGAGGGAAAGCTGTAAAGCTTTCCCAACAATGTAGTTGGTCCAAGAAAATATATCATCCCAAAAATCCTTTTCTCGCATATTTCCTGAACCATCTCTCCACCACTACTAGTGCAGTGTAAGCCAGAAAGGGATGCAGGTGCTGCAGAGACACAGGGCCTCTGTATGGATTATCCTGGTTTTCATGGACCTTGGGCAATTTCTGCAGTTGTTTGAAGATAGGCTTGGAAATTTAGGAAAAAGAAATCCCTTGGAAATTCCAAGTGGAAGCAAATCTTTAGAATCAGCCCATTGGAAATCTCCCTTAGTGGACACTCCCCAAAGATTTTTATCATCTACCAGGACCCATTTTCCATAAATTGGACAATCTTGGCCATATATAATTAAGATGTGGTAAAAGTTAATTATATAATTGTACTGGAATGTTGTTTGGTTTAGCTTTGCAAAAGAGGAGTCATACTGAGTCATGACTGCTAATAGTCTCAGTCTGTTCACTGTAGGCTAAAGGTCTTGTCACTCTAGCTATGTTTTCACTGCAGAGTTAACATCAGTGTGGGTAACTCAAATTAACACCTCTCAAGTCAGCTCAGCTTGGGTGAGAGTAGCTAAACTATAAAATGGAAAACTTGATAGAGTGTTTATGTTAACAGGTGATGAGTTGTTCATACTTGACCTGTAGCGGTAACCTGTGATGGGCCAGTTAACAGGAGGTGAAAGTTAAGCAGTTTTGTGCCTGGTGACTCTGAAGTTACAATTTGAGCTAAACCTTCGGTGAAGACAAGCTCTGTATCACCTAGCTGTTCTGTTCCTGTCTCAATCGGGTTAAAATATTTTTTCCATTAGCATTGCTGGCTGCCCCTCACAGCCATTGGTCTTTATTTCTTTCTACCATCAACTTTCTTTAAAAAAAAAGTTCTTATACAAAATAATTTTATTTCTAGATAGACTAGTTTATCTTCACTTCTTTGATGTATCTTCCTTTTTTCAGAGAAAATAGAATGATTTTCATTTGAATTCTTATCTGCTCTGACTGCTGATTCCTTTATTTTAAGTCATAATCCCCTGTTAATGATGTGACAGTCATGACAAGAGAAACAGAAAGGCCACATCCACCCAAGCAGGGGCATGCCTTTGCAGCAACATAAATAATAGTGGCACAGATTTGTGCTGCTACTTTGTGCTGCAATGCATGCCCCTGCTCATGCAGTTTGCAGCAGGACACATTGTCCCACTCCTTCATGTGCTGCAGGGGTGCTGGCTAGGGTACACGATGCCTCGGCGTGGGGTTACCCAGCTGGCTCCAGCCATCCAGGGAGTGGCACGTGGAGAAGTGCCCATCTTGAGGCACACTGCACTCCAGCGAGCCAGGGAGCAGCTGGCTGGGGTGCAGGGTACCTTGAGACAGGGGCTCTGCAGCACATGGAGACAGGGGAGTAGGCAGCTCTGGGCTGCCTGCTCCTCCACCTTCACCAGGTGTTGCTCTGTGGCTGGCTGGGGCACAGGGTGCCTCAGTGTTGGGGCTTCACAGTGTACAGCGATGGGGGAGCAAGCAGTCCTGGGCTGCCTGCCCCCTGTCTCTGCATTTGTCCCAGCACATGGTACTTTGCTTTGCATGCTTTGCACCGCCTTTTATTTGGTGGGGGGGGTTGCTACCAGTAAATCCCAGAAGCAAATTTTGCCCCAGTGCTGTAAATCAGCAGCATGGGACACAGTTTAACATGTAACACATGCAGTTTGTGGCACTGCAAAGAGGTTTGTGCCACAAACCACGTGCCTGCGCATCGGGATCTGGCCCAAGGGTGTGAACCGAATTCAGTCCTGGTACATGACTACCTGCTTACCCCTGGACTGAGTTTGGCAAATATAAGAACAAAATATATTTTGTTGGAAGTACAATATGTTTAATAAACATGCAGGTAGAGAAAATATTTCACAAGGAGATATAAAAAACACATTAGTAAATTCCAAAAAAGGAAATGAAATAGGTAGGCACATTGCAATTGAAGTAAACAACAGATTGAAGGGAGAAGCAAAATCAAATCACACAAAAACTTAAAGGTTAGTTTAATATTGTTAATGGAAATGCAAAGCCTTGTTAACCTAAAGTTTTCCTTGTACAACAAATATATGGCAAGGTCCTCATTTGGGTTCCAACCTTGAAGCTTCAGCACAAAGAAACTAAAACATCCATCCCACACAGCAAGAATGTAAGTAACCTTCAAAGATAAATGATTCTCACAAGTAAGGAGAGGGCGTCATTTCAGCAAACTATGATTAGATAGGTATGGAATCTCTTTTGCGGGAAGTTGTGAAAACAATTCCAGAAGAAAGCTCACATGCATGTAGACACTGCTGATTTTGGTGACTCCAGTCATGTAAATTCTGGTCACATTAGTTCTTACAGCTGCCACTGCAGCTCTGTTTGTTATGCCCTCTTTTAATATGGGATTAACATATTATTATCCCTTTATATGATGCATACACAGGTTCTATGAAACACATCAATTTCTAGGGAATGGGAATGGTGGAAGACCCAAATCTTGAAACATTTGGGTGGCTAGGATCTGGAACCAACTTCCAAGCAAAGTGGTGCTGGCTCCTACCCTGGGGGTCTTTAAGAGGAGGTTAGACAAACACCTTGCTGGGATTGTTTGACCCCAGTACTTTTTCCTGCCATGGCAAGGGGTTGGACTTGATGATCTGCTCAGGTCTCTCCCGACCCTACCAACTATGAAACTATAAGTAGATTAGACAATATGCTAGAACACTGGTTCCCAACCTTTTTAGATCACGGACTGGCAAACCACAGACCAAAAGTGACCATGGACCAGCAAACTGTGGACCAGCATACTGCAGACCAGAAGTGACTATACTGAGTACAAAAAAAAGATTAGCCGCTGATCTGCAGTATGGTGGTCACTTCCAGACTTCTGGTCCAGCAGCCAACCCTCCTGTGGA